ATCCGAAATGTGATTTAGAGGTCCGTGGTAGAATTAGGCTTGAATTGGCGAAATTTGGTCATTTCGGTCGGGAATGGAAAATTTGATATCGGGGTCGGAATGGAATTCCGGAAGTTGGAGTAGGTTCGTAGTGTCATTTGTGATGTGTGTGCAAAATTTGAGGTTATTCGGACGTGGTTTGGTTGGTTTCGGCATCGGTTGCCGAATTTAGAAATTTAGAAGTTCTCAGGCTTGAATCCGAGGATAATTTGATGATTTGATGTTGTTTTGAGTGATTCAAAGGTTCGACTAAGTTGGTATGTTGATATATGGCTTGTTGATTTTTTGGTTGAAGTCCCGAGGGCCTCGGGGTGATTCTGGGTAGTTAACGGATTTGTCGAAGTTGGAAAATGCAGCTGAAGCTGCTGCTACTGCTATTTTCGCACCTGCGGAAGAAAGAGTCGCAGGTGCGAGGCCGCTAGTGCACGTGGGGAGTTCATAGGTGCAGGCAATACTGGGCTAGGCAGGTTGCGCAGGTGCGAGTTGGAGGTCGCATCTGCGAGCCCGCAGGTGCGAAATCTGGGGCGCAGATGCGGAAAGGGGGATGCTGGGCAGGCTTCGCAGAAGCTGGGGAAACGCACAGGTGCGCCTTCGCAGACGCGGGGTTTTGGGCCGCAGATGCGGAAGCTGGGCTCCTAAGTGAGTTCGCACCTGCGATGGATTTTTCTGCAGGTGCAGTGGCGTAGAAGCGTGAAAGTTTCCGCAGGTGTGAAAAACCTAGGCAGAAACCATAAATAGAATCCTTCACGAATTTGGTTCATTTCCACCATTTTCAAGTCGGTTTTTGGAGCTTTTGGAGTGATTTTTGAAGGGTGATTCAAGGGCTATCAGTTAGGTAAGTTGCTTGAGCCCTAATACTCGCATATATGATAATTTTCCGTTGTTTAATCATGTAATTAGTAAAAATGAGGGGTTAGGGCTTGGGATTTTTGGAAAAGTAATTTAAGGATTTGAAGGACCAAACGATGTCGGATTTTGATGAATTTGGTATGGTTAGACTCGTGAATGAATGGGCGTTCTAGTTTTGTAAATTTTATCAGATTTCGAGACGTGGGCTTGGGGGCCGGGTTTGAGCCAATTTCGGGTTTTGGTCTAATTTTGTAGCTTTTCTTGTGGAATTTATTCCATTAGCGAGTATTGATGGTATTGTACTGATTGTGAATAGATTCGGAGTATTTGGAGGTAAGAGCATTGCGGGGTAGAGATTTGATCGGTTTGAGGTAAGTAACGATTGTAAATCTAGTCCCGAGGGTATGAAACCCCGAATTTCGTATCATTTTACTATTTTGAAGTGACACACATGCTAGGTGACGGGCGTGTGGGCGTGCACTGTTGGGGATTGTGACTTGGTCCGTCCTGTAGCAACTGTGAAGTTGCATATTTTGTTGAAACTATATGATACTTACATGTTTTAGAAAGAGTTTCTGTAAATTGGGCCGAATGCCATGTTTGGGCCTCTTCTTACTATCCTCTCATTATTTTCGATTGAAAATCTATATTCAGTCATGGTTATACTTGTTTACTGCATAACTCAGTTTTATGATTCTATTTTGATGCATATAAATATTTTGGGCCGAATGCCCTATTTTACTGAAATGCCCGAGTGGCTTGATAGGTTTATGACTGAGTGAGGCTGAGGGCCTGATTTGTGAGTATATTTATGGGATCGGGTTGCACGCCGCAACATGTTAATATCGGCCGAGGGCCTGATTGTGAGGATGAGTGTAGATCGGGGCTGACCCGCCTGCAACATACTTTTTTATTATAGCACGTGAGTTATCCGTGCAGCACGTGAGTTGTCCGTGCATATTATGATGCTTGGGCTAAATTAGCCCCTCCGGAGTCTGTACACACCCCCAGTAAGCGCAGGTACCTATTGAGTGCGAGTGCCGAGTGCCGAATGCTGAGTGACTGGGAGGCAAGAGTGATTGTGAGCTATGCCCGAGTGGTAAGAGTGATTGTGAGGTATGCCCGAGTGGCAAGAGTGATTGTGAGGTATGCCCGAGTGGCACGAGTGACTGTGAAGTTTGCCCGAGGGGCTGTATATGAGTGATGTTTTGCCCGAGGGGCTGTTTATGATTTTATCATTTTTGCTCACCTTTGTATTTTTCCTCTGTTTGAAAACTGTTGAAAATTATCTTTAAATAATTTTTACTGGAACTGGGTTTAAACGAGATGTTTTGATTCAAATCCTGATTTTAAAAGCATGTGGTATTTTACTAAGATTTTCTGATATGAACGTTATATGCTTTATTGCTCGTCACTACTGCTCAATCTTTATTTATTGTTGTTACTTACTGAGTTGGCGTACTCACATTACTCCCTGCACCTTATGTGCAGATCCAGGTATAGCTGGACACGATAGCGGTTGTTGATTGTTCTGATTACAGATTTTTCCGGGGATAGCAAGGTAGCCGCCTGGCGATCGCAGCCCTGCTCTTCTCCCTCTTATATTCCTCTAGTTGTATTTAGTTATTTTTCAGGCTGAGTTAGCCTTGATATTATTAGACAGATTGTAGTAGATGGTCATGACTAGTGACACCTCGATGTCGGGATTTTTCTTTTGCACTTTTATTTTGATTGGAACTCCTTTACGAAGGTTTTTATGTTAAATAACATTAGAATTATCTTTGAAATGAAAATTTTGGTTTGTTTTGGAAATGAGTCAGCTTGCCTAGTTCCACGATAGACGCCATCACGACAGGGGTTAGTTTGGGTCGTAACACTAAATGACCCTCTTTTATTTATCAATTTAACCTTATATCTTGCTCATCATTTTATTATAAATAAAAATAAATAGCACTCTTCTTTAGCTCACTAATCACAATTAATAAGTTTAGCCTCACATGAATGCTTGTTAGGCTAACTAACCTGAGTCGCCCAAAATGCAAATATCAAAACACAACAAAAATTAGAGTTCTATCCGTCAATAAACATGCATAACATAAATTAAATTTACTCTGAACTATTATTATTAGACTATACTGTTGACATATCATGTGATAAAATAAATAAAATGCCTAAAAACATCACGATACTCTGAATAAAAAAAGTTACAAATTAAGATGTCAAAACCATCAAGAGTCTCAACAAGTCTATAAATACTTTATCATACACATGGCTAACAAAAGGCATCTGAACATAAAGAGTTTACAAGACCATTGCAACATTTAGAGCTAACAAGAGTCATATGCCTACTTTTAAGCTGTATTCTAACAAAATAAGATAGAGAACAAGAATTTCAATAATGTTGTCTCATTTGACAGAGAAGCCTCTTCCATCTCTTTTCTGCAAATGTCACTCAAACCAAAGTTGTGCTTCTTTTTCTTTTTTCCTGGCCTAAAAATAAATTTTCATGTGACGGACCATATCATTCACTAAAAAGAATCTTAGAGAAATAAATATCCTTACATACAACACCACAAATAAGTAATTTAACATAAATGTAGTAATATACTTATCAAAATTTTGCTAAGATTCTTTCTAGTCATGATTGAATAAGGGTTATATCAAAAAGGAAAATGAGTACGAATTATAACTTAGTAAAATATAAGTATGATAAACACTAATTTATCTACTACCAATAAAAGCACTCTTGTTAGGTATAAGATCAAACGTAAAATACAGAAAGAGGAGAAAAGAAAAGAAGAAAAAAATGTGTAGTCTCTATAGACTTTTCCCTAAAAAGAACGAGGATTCCCACCGGATCACATTGGTGATAAATACATCTGCTCCTTGTGATGGCTTAGAAAAAATCTGAGTTGACATGGCGACAAGCATGAATCTAAGCAACTCGTAAATTTGTAAAAAATATACCTCCGAATTAGGAATGAGTTCTTGAAGTCCCCTCATCCAAGAGGACCAAGACAATTTCTAAATAAAACGAAAGGCCTCAATTGGTGATACATAAAAGAAAGGAAGAGCAATATGCCAACCATCTGTTCATATGCTTAAAGCATTAAGCGGATGATTTATTTACTCTTTCCCTATTTAGAGTTTATGTGATAGACACTAATAAAGTTAACATTTAAGAGAAAACAAAAGGAGAATTTTCTTTAGACATATAAAGTAGAATAAACAGAGGGCACACAGACCTACATAAGCGGATATTACCTCAAGACATCTATAAATCGCCTAATTATTTAAAACCTCCTATTCGCCCCATCGCCAACATAATATATTTAAAAACAATGCATACCAGCAACAGGTTACTGACTTTATTATTATAAGGTTACATCATAAAACCAATATCATCATCATCATCATCTGTGTTATCGATTTCATCGTCATTAGTACTTTTATTACCTTCATTCCCCTCATTCTCCTCATGATCACTGATGTACTCTACCATTGTGTCATCCTCTTCGTTAGAATTTTCTTCGTCATAACCAACTTCATGTTCTGTCTGAGCCTCCAATTCAATTACAGTTGCATCTAGGGTAATCGAATCAACATCATCTCTATGTAGTTGACTCAGCATATTATCCGTATTATTGACAATTGAATTACTTTCAAGTGATACATCTTGATATACTTCATCATTTGTAACATACAATTCGCCATTTTCTGTCTCTGAATTTTGCATCTTTGGCACATCATATAAGTGTTTATCTTGAAATTTTAGGGTAATTCGCCAATTTTCTCCCAACTTCGGATCATCAATATAAAATACTTGCCTTGCTTGAGTAGCTAGTACAAAAGAATCATGTTCATACCAAAATCTATTAACATTGATGCTCGTAAAATTTTTATCTTTTTTCATTCTTATCTTCTTGCGAAGATCAAACCACTTGCATTTAAATAGCAGAACTGGATTGCCATTAAGATACTCTAACTCAATTATGTCAGTTATAATACCATAAAAATCAATCACCTCATTTTTATGATAGCCTTCAACAACTAGATCGCAATTTTGACTTTTACGTAGTTTATCGCGTCTTTGAATATGGTACCACACATCCAGTATATGTTCTTCCACTCACATCAGGTCCTATTGCCAAAGGATATAACTGATTGATAGACACTGACTTTTCCTTATTATATAATTGCATAATCTACAATGAAAAAAATATTACTTTTAATTAGTAAAGAGGAAAACAAATTAGAATTTAAACACATTAAGATGATTTTTATCGTAAATAGTTACTTACTTTCTTTTTGAACCATAAAGGAAATTGTTCTCTATGTTTCTCTTCTATATTCGCAACAACTTGCTTCATCAACTCTTCTTTATGCTCCCTATATGCAAAATAAATTACTTATAAATTATTTAAAACAGAAAAATAACAATAGAGAGAAAAATAACTTACCGAAGAAAAGGTTCTACTTTTTCGCAATTATTCAATACGTACCACCGAGCCATATCAAAATCTTTCTTTGGTATGGTATCATAGTTTTCATCTCCAAATGGTCTAACACACTTTGAGAATATGTCCAGAACAAGTTCATCTTTGTTACTAGATCCATCATCATTTCGATCTTCACGATTAAATCTAGTTTCGATGCCAGTAAGATACATAGAACAAAATGTCAAACATTCATCAATAAGATAGCCTTCTGCAATAGAACCTTCTGGCCGTGCCTTGTTTCGCACATAACGCTTAAGGTTGCACAAAAATATTTCAATTTTGTACATCTAATGATATTGTACTGGTCCCCCATAGATAGCCTCTCGTGGTAAATGCACAGCCAAATGTATCATAACATCAAAGAAAGCAGATGGAAAGATCATCTCAAGCTTACACAATATTAAAATTATATCCTTTTTTAGTTGTTCTAAGTCATCTTTTCTCAAAGTCTTGCAACATAATCGTTGAAAGAAATCGTCTAACTCAATCAATGCTGAACAGACATCTTTATTTACAAATCCACGAATAGCAATAGGCAGCAATCGTTGTAACAAAACATGATGGTCATGACTTTTGAGTCCAGTTATCTTATCATCATCCGCATTTACACGCCATGAGATATTTGAAGCATAACCATTAAGAAATTTAACTAATTTTAAAAATTTACAGAACTCCTTTTTTTTACTTTTTGACATATTATAACAAGCAGATGGCATTGTATAACTAGAACCATTATCCTGTAACCATAGTTCTTTTCTTATGTTCATATCCTTAAGATCTTGTCTTGCTTTATATGTGTCGTTAGTTTTCCCTTCAATATTCAGAATTCTCCCCAAAATATTCTCGCAAATGTTCTTTTCTATGTGCATGATGTCTAAATTGTGTAGCAACTTCAAGCTCTTCCAATATGGCAACTCAAATAAAATACTTCTCCTCACCCAATTTAACTCTTCAGGAAGACGTTTTCTTTTCTTATTATTTGGGTGTTTTCCTGGTCTATAAGTACTAAGAAAATCCAATTGTTGTAAGACATCATCTCCTGAGAGCTGTTTTGGTTTTAATCTTTTTTTTTATCTTACCATCAAATTTTTTGCTTCTTCTCCATGTGTGCTTAGGTTCAAGATACTGGCGATGATCCATGTAACAGATTTTACTTCTTAACTTGTGTGAAGGTGCATCTTTATTGCAAGTAGGACATGCCATGTATCCCTTAATACTCCATCCAGATAAATTACCTAATCCATAAGAAATAATATATGCTCACATTAGTTTATATTCCTAAACTATACTAAACTTACTTACAAATAGTATACTAGTAAAACTTATACAAAATCTTCTATTTAACAATTATTTAGACATCTTGGACAGTAAGGAATTTAAGAACTTACCATAAGCTGGAAAATTATTTATGGTCCATATAACAGCAGCATGCATTTTGAAGGACTCCCCTGTTGATGCATCAAATGTATCTACACCTACACTCCATAACTCACTCAATTCATCAACCAAAGGATGCAAATAAACATCAATATCCTTTCCTGGTGCTTGAGGACCAGGAATAAGCAATAACATTAACATAAATGGATCCTTAAAAGGAACTAGAATGACAGGCCACATACTATAAGTTGTGCTCATGTTACCAAATGGATTAAAACTATCGGTTGCAAGACCAAGTCTAATATTCCGAGGTTCTTGTGCAAACCACTAATGATTCTTGTCAAATTCTTTCCACTCTTCAGAATCAGCAGGATGCCTTAATACATTTGGCTCATCAAGACATTTTTCTTTATGCCACCTCATGTCCTCACTTGTTTTTCTAGACATAAATAACCTTTGAAGTCTCGGTTTTAATGGAAAATATCGCAAGACTTTATGAGGAATATTTTTATCTTTTCCGTTATTAATTTTTAATCTCGAAGTACCACAATGTGGACACTCTTGTCCATCTTTAAGCTCATCCCAATAAAGCACACAATCATATTTGCAAGCATGGATGGAAATGTATCCTAATCCCAAACCTTGCAGCATGTTTCTAGTATCATAATATGACTTAGGAAGTGTCTCACCATTTGGCAGTGCCTCTCTTAGTAACTCTAGTAATATATTAAATGACTTATTACTCTAATGATTGTACACTTTCAAGTGTAGCAACTTCACAAGGAATGAAAGCTTTGAGAATTTCTGACATCCTGGTATAATTCATGTTCAGTTTCTTCCAACAATTTGTCAAACTTTTTGGCTTCCTTCCCATGCATATTACCACATATATTATTACCAGTTATTGTCTCCGCCAAAAAATTGGCAAATGATCTTCCACTGGCATCTTCTAACATAGCGTTAATTCCATCATTTTTGTCATGTTCTTCATCTTCATCTTCGTCTTCGTCTTCGTTGTAAATTGCTTCATCTTTATCTCTCCTTTGCGATTGTTTCCCATGGTATATCCATTGCACGTAACTTCCCGTAATTCCTTTTATCAACTAATGGTCATACACTACTTCTTGTGTTTGAAAATTTATATTTAAATAGTCTTGGCATGGACATCGAACTTTAGAATTTCGATCAAAGTTTGACCGAACGAGTTGCATAAAATATTGAACACCCTCAATATATTTTTAGAGAACTTCCGTTCATACATCCAACCTTTATCCATGATCAACTGCACAAACATATCGACAAAGCAAGCTAAGTCAGCCATGCGGTAATAATTGAGTTTTAATAAAGCAAAAGAGAAATGCATTTATAATCTTTCAACATGTCATAAAACTTCTGCTGAGAGAATAATAAAGAAGAAAAAAAAAACACAATCAATATCCAATTCGAATATCCAAAAATTTAAAGTACCAAATTCAATATCCAATCCAAAATTTAAAAAAATTAAAAATTAAATCCAAAATCTAATTTGTAATTCGAAAATCAAAACCAAAATATTAGGATTTCGGTTTGGATGTCGGGTTTTCCCAAACTATGCCCACCCCTAATGAAGACCAATGGCAAATGAAGATACAAATTCGGGCTATCTATTTTCTAAAAAAATGTTCAAATAAAATTCATTGTTATGATGTCCAATTAAATAATATGCAATGATATGGCTCGTTATTTGAGTTACTCTCGATTTTACGAATGAGTAGAGCTTTTACCATTCATTTGTTATAGAATTATGAGCGTCAACAAAGCTTATTAGGGAACTCAACACATTATTTGCGTAAGAGCTGTTGGGCGAGCCCTGAGTGTTTAGCGTTAGGCATGTTCAACATGCGCAGTCGGGCGCTTGGGACATTTAAGTCTCGTGAAACTATGCCACGTATGTAAGTGTCAGGGTGTTTTGATGGTGCCCCGCCCAAGGGCGAGCCCCGGACGAGTTCCAGAAAAGTTTTTTAAAATAGAGATATAATGGTATTTTATTGGATACAAAATTTAAAAGGAAGAAGGACTTACTAAATTGTGGTTTAAAAAAGTCATAGAAATTTATGTGCCTATTTATTTTATTAGGGTATAATGAAAAGATTAAAATTAAATTATTTCTGACTACGTAAGTATGACATTCACATACTAAAAAGGAAAATATGACACATTAATTGGGATAGAGGAAGAACTAACGAGGAAAGTATGTCACATTGAACAAGACAAAGATATTATGTAATAGTTGTAATGGCTAAAAATAACATTGTGTCAATGCGGTCAACTTTTATCGTCGGAACCCAATTGATCAAGCCCAAGTCGCCCTTTTAACCTAATTGGTGGATTTTCAGATCTACAATAGTTATATTAGAATCAAACCAAACCAAACCAAATCGGCTTATTATTGGTTCGGTTTTATCGATTATTTTGATTTTTCTATCAGTTTCTTAAAAAAAGACGTGACAAATTATATTAAACACATATTATAGCAATTATATTGAATTACTTATTAAGAAAAGTTGTTAATTCTCAAGATATTTTGATGATAATTGAATAATGATGAATAATTTAAGGACTAAATTAAATTTAAAAAGTTATTTTTAACATGGAATAAATTCTACAAACCAAAATAGAATATAAACTATACTATAAGTGCAAAATAAGGCTACGAACCAAGAGCACAAAAATCAATGTGTAATGTAAAATTTTATGTAGTTATAATTTTTAAATAGGTATTTATATAATTAATCTGGTTCGACTTTTTGGATTACGTTTTGCTTAAAATCAAATAATTAAATTTTATATGTTCTTAAAACTAAAAAATCAAAATCAAATCAAATAAAGAATGTCAATTTTTTCTCCGATTTGATCCGTTTTCTATTTAGTTCAATTTCTCGTGAACACCCTTTGTTTAACTTTTTATTTTATGCCAAGATAGTTAAATCAATTTTTGAAATAATTCTTTTGAATATTGTATTATTGTAGTATATATTTTATATAATTTATTTATAACATAAAGTCATCCAAAATTGGGATAAGTTCTAAAATAAAGTTTCATTTTAGTATTATTTTTCACAAGTTAAAATTTCTTTTTACTATTTTTTCCCATAAGTTGGTTGTAGATTTGTAGTATTATATCGGCTGATATTTTAGAATTAGTGGGAGAGAGAGATAAAGGTTAGGGTTAGAAGAAAATTTCGGTAAAGCCACTTCTCCACTTCCTAATTTTTTGGGATAATCTTCTTCCTTGGCATGATAACTCTCCAACCTCGTCCATACCCACAAACTCGTCGATACCCACCAAATAGAATTCCACAAGACAGTAAAATGGAGAAATAAATCGTCTTTTGGCGCTGGATTTTGGGATTTTTGGCTCCAAACGAATTTCAGGATAACCACTATATATATATGAGAAAAATTACTGAAAAAAATACATTGCAAAGTAAAGCAAATTTTTTGAACAGGTATGTATCATTCCACCTACTCTATATTTGAATAAGATTCAATAGATTGTAATTTGCCACAATCGTATATCGAATTATTAATTCATTAATTATTTGTGGCACAGACATTGATATGCCTTTATTTTATCTCA